TACACCCTGCTTCGAAGCTGGCTTCCGAGAAAGCAAGCAACTCAGTGTCACACACACACACACACCTTTGCCAGTTTCTTGAGGTGCTGGCTGTGGAGTGGCCCTGGACCCGAACACATGGCAGAGAGATTGCCAGAGAGAACGCTATAGAATGCCAGAGTAGATGCCAGAAAGAAGGTCAGAATAGATGCCAGATGCTGTAGATTATCAAAAAGATTGCCAGATAGAATGCCCGAGAAAATGTCAGAATAGATGCCAGATAAACTGCCAGAATAGAATTTCAAATAGAATGCCAGAAAATATATGCTAAATACACTTCGAGATGAGATGCCAGAAACTATGACAAAATAATGTCACGGTCGGGATCACTCGAAGAAAAGTATTGTTTAACCCTCCGCTAATCAAACATGACACTTGAAAATCCTATTAGAACCTCAACTAACAGAGGATTAATCAATGACATTAAAACAGATTACAATCTCAATTTACAGGGGATTCCCCACTTGTTTAACATGGATTGGCCCGTATTGGCACAACTTGGAGTTGCTGACTCGGTGGGAAATCGAGCCTCATAGCTGGGCCCATGGCATCAGGGTGGACGCGTTGCTTCCAGCATTGGTGGCAAGTTCGGCACAATGATGGCCATGGGTTGGCACCCAAGATTCATGGGAAGTGTCAAGGAATCACATGAATTTACGCAGTTACTTAGTTCAAAAGTATAGATCTCCAAGTGCAGCACGAGAACTTCAACATGAGTCAATTTTAGGAACATCCCAAATGTAAACTGCCCAAAGGTTTCGCCGCTGTGTTTCACAAAGGCCACAACTCCTTCGGCTCCAAATCTTCCAAGGGCAAGGCTGGCCGTCCTGGCTGGTGGGGAGAATCCATGGGATGATGGGGACAGTGGAGTATATCTGGTCGGTGGTTTCAAACATGTTTTATTTTTCCATATATTGGGAATAATGATCCCAACTGGCGAACTCATATATTTCCCAACTGACTTTCATATTTTTCAGAACGGTGGCTCAACCACCAAGCAGATATTATTTGGGATAATGGAATGGCTACTGAGTGGTGTCCGAGACTTAGTGTTCAAACCTACTAGGATGAATGATCCCAGGTTGAAACCGTCAACTAGAAATTTCATTGGGATGATGAACCATCAATACTGGAGGAAACTTGGGACATGGAGCTCATAGGATTACCAGTAGATACTTGGCTCCCCATTGAGCCAATGATTTGCGATGGTGTTTTTTTCCTTTTTCATAGCATGTCCGCAAAAAAGGGTTTCATGACTCTTAGCTATAGGTGTGCCATATCACAGTTTACTGGGTTCAAACTCTCAGACCTGCATATTGGGTTTACCGCACTGCGAACATTGGCTCACAGAGTTTGTTTACGAGAGAAATTGCAGGAAACCTCTTTATTTGCTGGTCAAAAACAGAAAACAAACATGGTTTCCACTTACATCATCGATTTTCGCAGGAAACTATGGTTATGGATTATGGGTTGTTTCAACGCCCAGTAGTAGCATAGTTATGGAATATGAGATTGATTAATCCTCAAGATTATGTCCGTAGTTGTGGATTAGTTGAAATGTCAGCATCCCCAGTCATGCCAGGTGCAGGTGCCACAACGAGCACCGGGCAATCTCACGGAGGACGCTGGTGTTGGGTGTTGGGTCCCCCAAAAAATGGCTGGTCAAAGAATGGATCATTTCTTTTTTGGTCTTAGTCTTAACTCATCCATTTTTCTTCGGGTCATGTTTTTTTGTCCTGCTTTTCTGATGGTCTCAACTGGTTGGAATCCACAAAATGGATCACAAAATTTGCGGTCATCCCAAAACGAGGCCGCAGTCAAACCCCCAGATGATGGCTGGCCATGCAGCCAGAAAATGGAAGTTGAAGTGTTCATGGATGTTTCTTTCTGGATGTTTTCACAATGGATTTTGTCACAGTAAACCTTCAAAAAGATCGAGTTTAGACATTACCACCAGTTGTTGGTAGGATTTTACCCGTTTCTATATTTGTTTGACTGTTGCTATATATTTATATACATGTATATATATATACACATGAAACCTACATCCCAAGTCGGCGAACACATCCCAACTTCAGGAGCACCTGGCTGCACACGACAAGCAGCTGCAGGTCAGCTCGGCATTCGAAGCACACATCAAAACATCGTTGGGATTTATGGATGTTCACCCTCCACGAATAAAGAGTCTATTTATATAATACCCTCTGGTTATTTAACATAGCCATGGAAAATGGCCCATGTATAGATGGTTTACCTATTAAAAATGGCGATTTTCCATGGCTATGTTAAATAACCAGATGGTAGAGGTTTTGACCATACCCAATGTTTATACGCATAGCTCTTCCTATCAGATCATTGACATATGTTGATCATTGGTGTGTAATTGGTGAGTGGCAACTGGCTCTTGCATACTCGAGGGTGGCATCCCAATATCCAACTGGTTGGTGGTTTGGAACATTTTTCCATATATTGGGAATAATACTCCCATTTGACTAATATTTTTCAGAGGGGTTGAAACCACCAACCAGCCAATGTTCATCAGCAAAAACGCAACAAAGTCTGAGGCGATCGATGAGGACACGGAGTTGCCATAGCTGCCATAGCTGCTGTCTTCAGGACTGTGGCATGGCTATCCAGTGGCTATCCAGCGGCTAGCACCGGGAGGGTTTTACTTCGAATTGAACCCAAACAAAGATAGCTGGTGTCCTAACATGCTGCTACATATCCTTGCTAAATCCATAGTGCCATAGCAGCTGTTTCAACAACAGTTTTGGTGTGAACTGAAGGAGTTTCTTGGGAAAATGAAGAGTGCATGGAAAAGTCCCCGACTGGCGGGCGCCAGGGCTTCGATCGGAAGCTCAGGAAATGTCGGACTGGGATTGTTTTAGCAGATGGAGTTCTGAAGCTAAAAGAGTTACAAGATATTTATGGATATTTAATTTGATCAAAAGGAAAGCACGGACAACTCGATTCTCCACCCTGCGCAGGATTTCTGCCCTCGAGTTCGATGAACAAAGTCGTCATCGGCCAGAGTTGAGAAGCAGAAAATTTCACGCGACGTGGGCCTTTAACTTGCAACCAGATGCGGCTTCTTATTGCAACGAGGAATGTTCTGCAGGAGGTTGGAGGTTTGTACAGGGAGTGTGCTATGTGATTGATTGGCTGATATGTATATATATATAAGTTCATGTGTGCATCTATGTCTTTGGCTTGTTGGATTCTTAATAATAGTTATTATTTCTAATTACTTACAAAAGATAATATCAGTTATATGATTGATATTACATGTGTTCCTCCCTTCTTCCTATGTATGTATGTATACATATACATATACATGTGTTACATTATATTATAAAATACGTTAATACGTTAAATATATATATATACATATATACACATCAAATATAACTATGTTATAAAATACTGTATATATATATATATATATATATGTATATGTATATTTGATATATAATTATATATTATATATAATTATTTAATCATATATTGAAATTGTCCATATTTATTACATGGGGTCAGGGGTGAAAGCTGAAATTGTGCGAATCAATCCATGAATCAGCCATATTTTTTCCAATCTGGCCCAACAAATGGCATTGATCAGGCTGGGGTAACCTTTTAAAAAATTGCCTGCGAACGCAAAAACAAAGGAAGCCCAAGCAAAAACGGCTGTGCCATTTTTAGGGGCTCTATGAGAGCCCAAAATCCATCGGAAAAATTGTGCTGTGGTATAAGGCTAGTCACACCTGGGCAGCCAAGATAGCAGCTGCAGAAATATCTGCACTGCAACACGATGCTGCACGCTCAAAACGACGGGGAAATGTACCGCGCAATGTACCTCGAGCTCTCTGGGTACGAATAACAAAACGCCATTCCTACAATATTTCACTTTGGAGGAAGCCTCTAAACCTTCACGGACAGCAGAAGTTTCCCAAGCCCTGGTCGTTTCCAACGCATTCCACCAATGGAAATAGATTCCTTACGACCAAATAAATTTGGGACATATCAAGATGACTTTTTTGTATATGTTTATTTCCCGGCTGCGGTCAAATTCTTTTACACCTATCTAAGAATTGCTTGCCACAGATTCAGCCCACGAGTGGTATCGCATTATAATAAAAAACTAACAAAATTGGTACCTTGTATGGTATTCTTGATAATATTAGGTATACAGAGGCACTGACGTAGCTTAATAACGAAGCTTGCGATATCTATACGTTATTATATATTTCCGATTATTTAATCTAATATTTTATTTTTTGCTATTTTTTTGGAATTTTATTTAATATGTATCTTAATATTTTTATATATATTTGGGATATTGTATTTGGTATTTATTTTGATATATTTTTAAAAATATATATATATATCAGCATTTTATTTTGTATTTTATGATAGTTTTTGATAATTAATATGTTTTAATTTGCATTTAGATTTAATATTAGGATTTGATGATATGAGGTTCGGATGTCGACACAACCTATATTTTTTGCAGAATTTATAAAAGGAGAAAAGTTAATGTTTTGACATAAAAATATTGTTTTTAAAAAAAAAAAGAAAAATAATAAAATAATTTTGTTATTAAATAAAATTTTAGATGTTTTTTTATAGAAAGGAATTTATATATATTAAGATATTATAATAAGAATATATTATTTTAATTATGTTGATTATTTCGGAATATAATATGTATCGGTTTCTTATTTCAATATATATATATAATGTGTATATTTTAAGATTTGATTTTTGATTATTATGTTAGTTAAAAAATTATTTTGATATATATATATTGATATTTATTGATATTTATTGATATTGATTGATGTGTATTTAATATAGTTATTGATATTTTGTGGTATTGATTTAATATATTTATTTATATATATATATATTAATTAATTATTAAATATCTTTTTTTGTTTTTGAAATAATATGTTATTTAATAA